GAAAAAGCTCTAGGGCACACCAGTGCGCCCTGTTTGAGAACCACTGCTCTAGACTAACGTACAGTTTATACTTGTTTATTATCTGACTTGATAATAGTTTATCAGAATATTATAACAAGTAGATCTGAAGTTTTATAAACAGATTGATCTAAAATCAACTCCAGACCTCTTGATATTGACTTTTTGTGCCTGGCCTGAGATCTTTGGCCAATAAGAGGTTAAGAGACGATGTTTACAATTGCTTTGCATACAGACTACTAAACTCACTGACAAGTTTAATGATTTATCATTATGTTGTTTGGACAGAACAAAATACATGCAGCTGATTGCAAGTATAATGTGCTTTATTGAGAATATGCATTTCAATCTCTAAAGTTAATACATTTACAACATCTCTTATAAAACAAAAAGTTTCATCACATCTTACAAAAAATATAGATCAAATACACAATCAACAACTGTTCAATATATTCCTGGAAAATTCCTGTTGGTGTAGTACACTGTTCATTTTCGTCCTTTTTTTACTGTTACTAGATGATTGGCTTGGTGCATTGTTCTTCTTCACTGTATGTTCAGTTGATAGACTTGAATCCACTTTGACACTTTCATCTTAACTTTTTTGACTTCTTTTACCTCTCTCTCTTAGGCAAGTTGGCTTGAACAAATCTTGAATAGATTTTGCATTTTTGAAACAAGCTTACCATTCACAGGATCATCAAGAAAATACTTCTTCTGGAGGTACTGGACAGAACTTTGTTGTATGGAGATTAGAGAGTACTTGACAGTTTGGATACTGTTGAAAATACTGATATTCATGGGGCTGTTGCACTGTTCATAATGTTAGACATTATACTGAAATTCACTTCAACTTTGGGTCCATGAAAACAGCTAATACCAAGACTATTTTGAATAATGCAAGGTATTTCACAGAAGAAGATACAGCTGCCAACCAAGTGTGCAGTCTGGTTGAGCTCATCACTTCAGGTATGGCACTGTCAATGTGGAACTGCTGCATCTCATAGTCAAAAGCGCCTCATCATCATCATCCATGAGAATGTTGGTGACCAGAGAGGGAAGTACCAACATATATTGTAGAGCCTTTTCCTCTCCTCTAATGATAGGGTCGAGTGCAGAGAAGTGATGGAGGAGTTTGTTTGTGATAGGCATTTTGAATGCAGAATGAGTATATTTTCTCTCCTGCAACAAGCACTGAACAATTTTCTCTTTTCTCTCCTTTCCATCTCTTGTCATGGTCTTTCTTCTCAACTACTCTTGGATTACTCTTATTCTGTTCTATACTTCCTGGCTACATTTCAACTGAACATAGCTTTCAACACATAGTCTAGTATATGTTACCTGGTCATTCTTATCCAGGAATGCATAACAGAAGATGGTGTATGCATCCAGCAGCTTGCAGTGTGTCAACTAACACATTATATATAGTCAGCCATCGAGTTGGAAAATATCGCTCAGGCATTGTAAAGGTAATCCCCAAGGGGAAGCATACCTCCTTCAGTGTGTCAATCAAATCCATGCATGATGGCAGGTATCACTATTTATGTTAAGTAGATGAGGTATACACCTGGAAAAAAGTTAAGCACCCCCGTGTTTTTTCAAGTGATTCAGATTCGACGTTCTTGTGACTGATTATAAATTACCATTCAATCTAAATGTGTTTATC